TTTTACAACTTATTCTACTCAGATAACCACAAGGTGAAGAAAAGGTTCTTTGGCTACAGAAGGGTTCAGAAAAGGGTGATACCTTCAACTCTGGTGTCTTTTGCCTCATTTTCTTTTGACTCATAGGTGAGAGATCATTCCAACCTTGGGAATTTCAAAAGATTGGGAGAGTAAGCCATAAGGAAAAAGGACCTTAAGTTAAAGTTAGGCTTTCAATGTCCTAAGGAGCAAAGATTGACTTTTGGAGTGATCTGAAGAACCCTACCCCACCAATAGCCAATTAGGTGTGAACTTGGTGGGACCAATCTTGTATAGGAATTGAACTAAGTTTCTAACCTAATTCACCAGAGACTGAGATACTGAGAGGACAAGGATAGAGGATAGTGGTGGTGGCAGGATGTTCTTATGCTGGTTCTTGCTTTGAAGTGAATATCTCCTTCTTTAAACTACCTCATGTTGAGTGGTTAAGTAGAGTTATGGTACTAGTTACAGTCCCTTAAGGATGGGAGGAATATAGCCACTGGGATCTTAATCTATGGTAGTAAAAAAAAAAAAAAGGACACCCCCCAAAAAAAACTTTTAGGATACCTTAAAACTCTGAGAGGGAAATGAAGCCAGTCTGACTGAGACAAGTGAGCGAGAGTGCACTCATTCCCCTTGTTTTGGAAAGTGAGTGAGGAAGTAGGTTGGAAAGAAAGGTGAGTTGTCAAGGCTATGAGTCCTATGGTTAAAAATTTAAAATGCCAGCTTGTTGTTAGAAGGTTGTTAATAATTTCATGTAGTTTTTTCCCCACTAATTATTTCCATAACTCTGAATGGGGTCCACACAGGACTGAGTAGCTGCAGGGGAAGCTCAGCTTTCAAGAACCTAGAAAGGTCATAAGGAAAACAGATCCTATTTGGTAATTGCTCACTGGTCCCAGAGCCTCTTGTCCATAGTAAAAGGACAAAAATAAAATGGCATCTCAGATTGAAAGGACATTAGGGGATAGCCCTGCCTTAAAATATGAATCCACTTGGATGAAGGGAGCCTTCTGGAGATCCAGATTTATCTCAGTGGCTTGAGGAAGGCTGTCCTGTCAGTGAAGAAATGCAAAAATCCCAGCAATGATGGAGGATTGTAAGGCCCCCTTAGCGCAGCATTTACATTTTCAAAGGCAGACGTCTGCCGGGAGAGCCCCACTTAGACCTCAGAGGTTGATGTAAAATTTCTGAGGCTGCATCAGCTCTCCTACTTATCTTTCAGCAAATGCTGCTTCAAAAAGCACCAAGGCTTTCTTTCAGTGAAAGGAACGAGTTCAATTGATCACCTTAGACCAAAGATCCTCCTGAAGAAAAGCATCTTAGTTCCTGTTTAAAATCAACAGTTTGCTGCTTCCACATGTAGAAAAGCTTCATGAGAAATTTAGAGTCACCATCTAAAGGCATCTAAAGGTGTTTAGATTCTGGCATCTCAGGAGTGAAATCACCTCAGATGCCTTTAAAATATTGGAAGAATTGTTTTGATCTATAAAAACAGAGACACAGAAGGACCTGTGCTATTTATTAAAGCAGCTTAATTCTTGAATGCATTCAGGATGTTGATTTGCGGACCCAAAATTTGAGAGAGATTAGGACCAGGGAAGAGGGGCAAATCCCCTCCTTCCCAAATTGTTTGAGACATGTGTACTCTACTAGATGCCTTAGGTCAGAGTGGAACATCGGCGTGGCACAATTCCTTATACTATAGAGATAGTCTTAGAGGCCTCCTTTCAGCAGATGACTAGTATCTATAGTTAAACATGCAGAGTTCTAACTGAACCAAGTGCCTGATTTAGTGAAATCACTAAAGTAACAATGTGTGTGCTCTTCTCTGTATTTGGGGACTGTTTAAGGAATTATTTGATATCAGAAACTTCTCAGCTCATTCTCTGTGTCAAATAAGCAGTAGGCTTTAGACCTGTGAACCTTTACCTTCCATCTCTTCACTTGACTACCACTTTAGGTCAGGGCCTAATCTCTTGTAGGACTATTGCTTTTCATTAGACTCTGCCTCCTATATCTCCCTTTTATGACATCTTCCCTCTACATGGCCGACAACTTGTCATTCCTGACATACAGATGTGACCATATCATTTCCCTGCTCTGTAAAGTCCATTAGCTTCCTACTTCCTCTAATATCAAACACTAAATGCTCTATTTGACATTTAAAGGCCTTCACAGCCTGGCTCCAACCTACCTTTCTATTACCACCATCTCCCTTCTTATAGTCTACCATCTAGGCAAACTGGCTTTCTTGCTCTTTTTTATGGCACTTCATTTTCCATATCTGTATCTTCACACAGTCTTCCCCATGTCTGGAATACATTCTTTCCTCACCTTGACCTCTTGGAATCCCTTTTTTCTTTCAAGGTTTGATTCAAGTGCCATGCAATCTCCTATATGAGACATTTCCTCATCCTCCCAGCTGCTATGTGTCCCACCCCCAAATTATATTGTAATTATTTTGTATTGATTTCATATCTGTTTATACATGGGAAGAAAGAAAAAAGTAAAGGAAGGAAGGAAGAGAAAAAGAAAGAAGGAAAGAAAGAAATGGCTCTAACTACACTCTGAGTGCATCAGCTTTCTATCTGGAATTGGATTGCCTGTTTCATCATGAGTCTTTTGGAAATGTGGTTGGTCATTGTGTTGATCAGAATTACGAAATCTTTCAAAACTGATTATCTCTACAATATTGTTGTCCAATTATCTCTTATTTGCCAATTCTAATAGCCTTTTCTCAACTCTCGTCCTTTTTGACCTCTTTGCAGGCTTAGACACTGTAAATCACCCTTGTCTCCCGGACCTTCTCTTCTCTCTAGGTTCTCCTCCAACCTGTATGACTGATCCTTCTTTGACTACTATGCTGGATGTTCATTCAGGTTGCTCCTGCTAACTATAAGTATCCCCTAAAGCTCTCTTCTCCTATACTACTTCACTTGGTGCTTATCAGCTCCCATGGACTCAATTGTCATCTCTATGTAGATGATTTGCAGATCCATTTATCCTGTCCTAACTTCTCTCCTAACTTCTAGTCTTACTTTTCTAACTACCCATTGGACATCTTGAACTGGACATCCCACAAGCACCTTAAACTTAACATGTCCAAAACTGAAGTCACTATCTGCCCTCTCCCCAAACTTTCCCTCTTCTTAATGTTCCTATTACTGTTAAGGGTACCACCAGTGCCCCCAAATCACAAACTAGATCTCCTCTTTGGTTCTTCATTCTCTCTCATCCCCTTTTTCTTATCCAATCTGCTTAAAAATCCCATTGATTCTTCCTTCTCCAAATCTCTCATATCTATCTATCTATCCACTCATTTCCTCTGACATTGCTACTCCCCTGGTGCAGGTCTCCATCATTTTTTGCCTGGACTATTTCAGTAACCTTCTTATTGGTCTTGCTTAATCTGTCCCATTCTAGTCTATCTTCCAGTAAGTTGTCAAATTTATCTCCCTAAAGCACAAGGTTGACCAGGTCACCCATTCACCTCCCCATTCAATAAACTCCAGTGGCTCCTTTTTACCTCCAGGATTAATATGAAATTCTCCATTTGTCTTTTAAAGACTTCTACAACTTTCCCCTTCTTAACTTTCCATTCTTCTTACACCTTATTCCCACACCTTCCTCCTCCCCCATCCCACTGCTATCTCTATGATCCAGTAACACTGTCCTCCTTGCTATTTCTAGAACAAAATATTCCAATTCAAACCTTCATGCATTTTCACTGGCTGAAACCTCCTCCTTATTTGTGTTTCCTTGCTTCTCTGGCTTCCTTCAACTCTCAGTTAAACCCCATCTTCTGCAAGAAGGCTTTCCTAGTTCCCCTTAAAGTTAGTACTTTCCTTCTGAGATTATCTTCCACTTATCCTATGTAGATCTTGTTTGTATAGAGCTGTTTGCCTGTTGTCTCCTGTATGTTTGTGAACTCTGTGAGATTAGTGATTGTTATTTCCCTTTCTTTATATCCCCAGTGATTATTATAGTGCTTGGCATATAGGAGGTGCTTAATTGGTGCTTCTTGGCTAGTTGTCTTTGACCTGTTTTTCCTTCTCCATGTAGTGATTCTAATTAAAGAAAACCTTCCTCAGCTCTCACAAAGTAACTTGATCCTTAAAAAAAAAACAACTTAATGTACTTTACATTAAAAGTTATCTGTTTATGTGGCTTATTGCTTATTAGACTGTAAGCTCTATAAGGGTAGGGACTGTGTCTTATCTAAACTTTGTATTTATGTGCAATGGGCACTTAAAAATGGTGGCTGAATTGAATGGGGGAGATAGTCTGAATGAGAAAAATAGGACCAAGGTCTGATAGAAGAAAAAACTCCTTCATTAGCTTTTAATACTTTAGTAGAATCACTTAAACTAGGTGGAATCATTTGCACTGGAAAAAGACCTGGATTAAATTAGGGAACAAAGGTTTTTTTTATTCTGACAGTCTATCAGTGACATACTGTGCAAATTTGAAGAGTTACACCTTGCCATTTTCCCTATCTGTAAAATTAGGGGTCTGGGCTAGATTTATTTTGCCTCTTGCAGTTCTGACATGAGATTCTATGTAGCAAAAACTGCGTTTCTATAGGAATGAAGTTTTTAAAAATTAGAGCAAATAAAAGAAGCTAAGCGTCTTCAAGATTATAATTTTTTTTTACAAAGTAAATAAGAAAAGGTAAGTTTTGGCCCTTTGAATGACATATTTCAGAGATTTTATTTAAAAATCAACATCTAAAATGAAGTTTAAAATTCCCAGAGCGCATAGGATTCACCATTCTTATTTTAAAATAGAAATTGTGTGATAGATACGTAATTCCCTGTGGTTTTAGATTTCATTCTAATACCCTCTGGTCTACAAAAACAACACTAACACACGGCTGGTTTTATTTACCACCCGTACATCCTATAGTTTATTTGTGCAGAAATAGAAATTGAATTTCCCTTAAAGTCCTAACACTGTTTTCATTTTCTCTCCAACAGCTCTAGACCCATCCAAAGATCCCTGCTTGAATGTGAAGTGCAGTCCCCATAAAGTGTGTGTAACTCATGACTACCAGACAGCTGTGTGTGTGAGCAGAAAGCAGCTGATGCAGAGGTAAGAAGAACTGGCTTGGCTGAGAGGCCCTTGTGAACAGATATTCTGTAGACCTGGAAAGCGCAACATCCACCTTAGGAAAAAGGCTTTTGAGAGTTTTGGCCTGCTGATTTGGCATAACTCTGGTTGTATGTATACCTGGAGGACACTATATTGTTGAAGAAAATTGGGAATAATGATCAGAGCTGAAATTCACATAGTGCTTTACAATTTGCAAAGCACTTTCTTATATATTATCTTATTTGATCCTCACAATCCTGTGAAGTGAGTAATACAAGAATTACTTTGTACATTTTACAGATGAGAGGACCTGGGTGTTAGAGAGGTTAAATGATTTGCTCAGAGATCAAGAAAACCTAATGCCAAAATATTATATGCACAGTGACTACAGTAATGTATATACATTCAATATGGAAATGCAAGAAAATTCTAGTTAAATAGAATGGTCAGTATGGAACCAGCTGTAGCCAGCTTGAGCCACTTGCTACATTTTCAGTATGAGTATTTGCACCTTGGAAATCAAGAGTTATAAATAACAGGTTGATTTATTGTTTTCTTTATTGTCTATACTTAAGAAAGTGTTGATAATGAAGATTAAAGTTAAAAATGTATATATGCTCTTCCTGAGGTAGAGCATTCAGCCAAGCTCTCCTAACATTCTCCTCCAAATAACTTCAAAATAATGTCTCAAATCGAATACTGGAGTTACAGAGCCAATAAAAGGTCTGGGTTAGATATTCTTCTAACTCAAGACAACTCAGGAGTTTGGAAGGAGAGATCTGTGACATAGGAGTGGAGTCTGGCCTGGAGCCCACATGGATGCAATACCAGGGATGGTGGTGATAGAAGCAGCAGGAGCTTTGAGAGCTCTCAAGCCAGAGATGGTAAGGGGACTTGGCAAATAGTCGGAAAGATATTACTGTGCTTGCACTGGTGAACGACTGCATGCTCTTTGGCAACTCCATTGCCAATATCCATTTCTAGGTCTCATTCAAGGGCAGAGAGGACCACTTTCAGTCTCAAGGGAACAGAGGATTCCGTTGGGAGTATTGCTTTTGGTCACAAGGATCAGGACACTGAGGAATGATATTGTTTATAATCTCAAGGGATCAGGGGTCCTTCCTGGGTTGCTGCTGCTGTTGTTCTTAATGTTGTTGTTGTTGGTGGTGGTCCTTCATTCTTAAAGAGGAAGAGAGCCTTTATAAGGAGAATAGTGACCATATCTCTCCTCAGATCATACCACCTTGGGAGCATTGAAAACTTACAAACCCCAAGAACTAGCTCTGAAAATAGCAGTGTGAAAAAGCCTAAAGCCTGGGACAGTACTGCAAAAGCAGCACTAAGAGGAAAATTTATATCTCTAAATGTCTCATCAATAAAAGAGCAGATGAATGAAATGGGCATGCAACTAAATAAAAAAACAAAAACAAATTAAAAATCTCCAATTGAGTGCCAAATGGAAATCCTGAAAATAAAAGAAGAGATTAATAAAATCAAAAGTTAAAAAAAGTCCCATTGTACTAATAAATAAAATTAGGAGTTGGTTTCATGGGGGGGGAAAAACCCCACAATAGGGGTAGCTAAGTGATGCAGTGGATAGAGCACCGGCCCTGATGTCAGGAGGACCTGAGTTCAAATCCGGCCTCACACCAAACACTTGACACTTATTAGCTGTGTGACCCTGGGCAAGTCACTTAACCCGAATTGCCTAAACAAAACAAAACAAAAATATACAGTAAAATAGATAACACATTGGTTAATTTGATTAAAAAAAGAAAGAAAACCAAATTACTAGTATCAAAAATGTAAAAGATGAATACATCTATATCACCAAAGAAGATAAAATTAAAACAAATATTAGGAATTATTTTTCCCAATTATATGCCAGTAAAACTAGCAATCTAAGTGGAATGGATGAATATTTACAAAAATATAAATTGCCCATATTAAGAGAGGAGGAAATGGAATACTTAAATAACCAAATCTTAGACAAAGAAATTGGAGAAGCCATCAATGAGCTCCTTAAGAAAAATCTTCAGGAATAAATGGATTTACAAGTGAATTCTACCACATATTTAAGGAACAATCAATCCACTGCATAAACTATTTGAAAAAATAGGTAAAGAAGGAGTTTTGCCAGATTCCTTTTATGATACAAATGTGGTTTTGATATCTAAACCAGGGAGAGCAAAGACAGAGAAAGAGAACTATAGGCCAATTTCCTTGATAAATATTAATGCAAAAAATTTTAAATAAAATACTAGAAAGTAGATTCAACCAATATATCACGAAAATCATACATTATGACCAGATGAAATTTAAACCAGGAATGCAGGACTGGTTCAATATTAGGAAAACTATAAGCATAATTAACTATATCAGTAACAAAAATAAAAATCATATGATTATCCCAATAGGTGTAGAAAAAGCTTTTGACAAAATACAACACCCATTCCTATTAAAAACATTAGAAAGTGTAGGAATAAATGGACCCTTTCTTAAAATGATAAGCAGCATCTATCTAAAACCAGGAGCAAGCATTATTTGCAATGGTGATAACCTTGAAGCCTTTCCGATCAGATCAGGAGTGAAGCAAGGATGTCCATTATCATCATTATTATTTAATATTGTATTAGAAATGCTAGCTCTAGCAACAAGACAAGAAAAAGAAATTAAAGGCATAAAAATAGGCAATGAGGAAATAAAACTATCACTCTTTGCAGATGATATGATGGCATACTTAGAGAATCAACTTAAAAAGTTGTTGAAACCATTAATAATTTTCGCAAAGTTGCGGGATATAAAATTAACCCACTTAAATCATCAGCATTTCAATATATTACCAATGAAGTCCAGCAGCAAGAGATAGAAAGAGAAATTCCATTAAAAATAACTGCAACAATATAAAATACTTGGGAGTTTACCTGCAAAGACAAATCCAGAGACCATATGAACACAATTACAAAACATTTTTTGACAAAAATGAAGACAAATCCTAACAACCTGAGAAATATTAATTTATTCTTGGGTAGGTCAAGCCAATATAATAAAAATGACAATTCTACCTACGTCAATTTACTTAGTAAGTGCCACACCAATCAAACTAACAAAGAATTATTTTATGGAGCTAGAAAAAATACTAACAAAATTCATCTGGAAGAACAAAAATCAAGAATATGAGGGGAATCAATATTTAAAAAAATGTGGATGAAGGCAACTTAGCAGTACCAGATTTCAAACTATATTGCAAATTGATAATCATCAAAACAACATGGTCCTAGCTAAAAAGAAAAAAAAGTAGAATGGTGGATTAGTGGAATAGATTAGGCACACAATACATAGCAGTAAATGACCATAGTAATCTAGTATTTGATAAACCCAGAAATCCAAGCTTTTGGTACAAGAACTGAGTATTTGACAAAAATTGCTAGAAAAACTGGAATACAATTTGGCAGAACATAGGCATAGACTAGAGGTCTATGTGACCCTCTAGGTCCTCAAGTGCAGTCCTTGGATTTGTTCTGTGAAGTTTGGATTCAGTCAGAGGGCTGTGCTTGAGGACCTAAAATGCCACATGTGTGGCCTCAAAGCCACAGGTTCCCCACCTCTGGCATTGACCAACATATACATATACTAAGACAAGGTCGAAAAGGATAAATGATTTAAACATAAAAGATAGTATCATAAGTATATTAGAGAAGCATGGAAAAATGTACCTGTAAGATGTGTGGATAAAGCAAGAGGTTATGACCAAACAAGAGATAAAGAGGATTATAGGAAATAAAATGGATTATTTTAATTGTATGAAAGGTTTTCCACAAACCAATCTAATGTAGCCAAAATTGGAAGGGAAGCAGGAAATGGGCAAAAAAAAGTTACAGTGTTTCTCTGATAAAGGTTTAATTTCTCAAATATTCAAGGAATTGAGCCAAATTTATAAAAAAAAATACAAGCCATTACCCAACTGATAAATGGTCAAAGGACATGAGTAGGTTGTTTTCAGAAGAAGAAATCAAAGCTATTAATAGTCACATAAGAAAAAAAGCTCTAGATCACTTTTGATTAGAAAAATTGAAATTAAAATAACTCTGAGATACTACCTCAAACCTATCAGATTGGCTAATATGATAGAAAAGGAAAATGAAAAATTTGTTGGGGATGTGAAAAAAATGGCACACAAATTAACTGGTGGTAGAATTATATGCAGCCATTCTGGAGAACTGTTTGGAATTATACCCAGAGGCCTAAAAATCTTTGCATACCCTTTGACCCAGCAATACTACTGTATCCCAAAGAAATCAAAGAAGAGGGGAGATGCCTTTTTTTGTACAAAAATATTTATAGCAGTTTTTTTGTGGTGGCAAAGAGTTGGAAATTCAGGGGAGGTCCATCTATTGGGGAATGACGGAACAAGTTGTATATGATTGTAATGGAATAAAACTGTGCTCTAAGAAATGACAAGCAGAATGGTTTCAGAAAAACCTGGGAAGACTTATGCAAGGGAGAACTGATACAAAGTGAGGTGAGAAGAACTGAGAGTACGCTCTACACACTATCAACAATATTGTAATGATGATCGACTGTGAAAGACTTAGTTACTCTTCTCAATACAGTGATTCAAAACAATTCCAAAGGACCCATGAGATGAAAAAAGTCTCTAGAAAGAAAACTAATGAACTTTGAGCACAAATTGAAGCATACTTTTTTTAACTTTATTTTTCTTGTGCATCTCTCTTAAAAAGGTTGCTCAGCTAAATACTCCATGTCTGTTCCTCTCTGTAGGACGTGTCTATAGATAATCCAAGGCTAGCACCCTCTGGAGTCCATAGCTGACTCTTCGTTGCCACTCAAAGTCATTCTCCTTAAAACTTTTTCCAGCGTTTTCATATGACTATTAATTGTTTGGATTTCACTGGAAAACTGCTTATTCATATCCTTTGACCATTTATCAATTGGGCAATGACTCATATTTTTATAGACTTGATAGATTTCTTTATAGA